ATTTCTTTCTTCCCAAAGAGTCCAAATCAAGGCTGCACGAGCACATCTCCACATAATTCTCCCTATTTTTGTAGGCCAATAAAAGGTAGAATGGTTGAAGAGCATGTGAAAAGAATGAAATATAAGGGGGCTGAGTCCCTGTTTCGTTCCTAACGTAAGTTGTCCAAGAGGACAATCTGGACTGTGTTTAAGGGGGTGGAGACCCTGTTTCAAGCTAAAAAAAATGGAGAAGGATTGTTAAAAGTAAGAAAGGAGTACCATTGTGATTTTAGGAAGGAGGAGGAGGCGGAGCCCCTGTTTCATCCCAAAAGAAGAAGAAGAAGAAGGAAAAAACGTACCTGGAGGTCTTGGACTACTTGGAAACTTCCTGTCATCATTTTCTCTTCTCTTTTATTAAAGTAAAAGAGAATTATTTTAATAAAAAATGATAATATACAACATGGTGTATTCTAATAAGATAAAACAAACCAATAAAAATGATATAATACATATGCACATTCAAAAAAATAGTATAGCATATATATGGGTGAGCGCCTAATACAAAAACACCTAGGCGTTGGGTGAGGCGACTTCTAAAAATCGCCTAGTTGCCTTGACAACTATGCAGATGATGAAGTGCTGCTAGAAGGGGAGGATGTTGTTACAGTGGTTTCCAAGTGATTCAATAACTTCCCATATTTCTCAAACTCTGCCTTTACTGTTGCCAGCTGCTCTATAGCTGACTTTTCTTCACTCTCCTTGTTCCCACCTTTAGGTACTAGGCAACATTAGCATTCTTAGGCTTTCTTGTCTGACCATTCTTCTTAAAATTGTTGCTATTGTGTTATTGTTGTTATTCCGAAACCCGTCTGGGAAAAGATCAAGATGGAGTTTCCAACAAGTGTCCTTAGTATGCCTCGGTTTCCTGCAGTATTCACATATCACTTCTTTCTTCTTGGTCAGACCTTTCGGCTTTATTCCAACATGTGCAAAATGTCCTGTAGGTGGACTTTGTAACTACACCTATCGCTTACTCTCTTCATTGCTTGCCATAGCATATGCTTGAGCAAGAGTGACCTCATCCTTCACCAGAATATTCTGTCAAGTAATGTCGAACTTAGGGTTGAGTCTTGTAAGAAACTCAAACACCCTATTTCATTCCACCAGTTTCCTAAAAGTCTCTGCATCATTAGTACTCTCCCAAACAACTGTCACCATAACATCAATTTCCTACCATAGTGATTTAAGCATGCAATAGTAGATCACTATACTCTTCTCCCCCTATCTCAAATTTTTCACATCACTTTTCAGCTTATAGACTCTTGCCACATTCAACTTCTCTAAATATGTTTCTGTAACATTGTCCCAAATTTCCTTGGCCGAAGACATCCAGAGATAATGCTGACTTATATGGGACTGCATAGAGTTAACCAACCATCCAATAACAATGTAGTTCTCCTGCATCCATTTCTCATATGCAGGGTCTGTCTCCACGGGTTTCACCTTATTGTCTGTGAGATATCCCAATTTACCTCTACTACAGACATGAATCCGTATAGGTTGGGCCCAGGCTAGATAATTAGTGCCATCTAGCTTGATTGTGGTCACTCCAATCAAAAAGGAATCTACCAGGCTAACCCCGGATACTAGCATCTGCTTCGAATCACTTCCGGAATGTTCCATTAATCAAACAAAATAAAAAATAAAGAAAAAAAACAGTTTTTCAGTCTATATAAACTTAACTGAGGTCAATACTGTACCTAGAGACTTGAAAACTAGGGCTTCACTGCACCCGGCTATCGGGGAGGAAGAGAGAAGAGGTAGCCGCTCCTACTAGAGCTTCCAAACCACCTACAAGTCTCTACCGCACACTTCTAGAGATCAAACTACACCTCCCAAGTCTTGAGCACCACACCAAAATCTTCTCCTTGACCTGTAACTTGAAAGCTCTCTTGTTGGCTAGGGTTTTGGGTAGAAAATTACAACTCCACTTCTTGGTAGTTCTTGGCTAGATTCTAACTCTCCAAACCCTCTACCAACTAGGCAAAAATATTCTATGATCTATCAAGAACTTATCTATACACCTAATCGAAGGGTGTATGGGAAAAGAGAAAAGAAAAAAAGAGGGAAAACCTGCTCTGATACCAAGAAGTAAATCTGACTTCTAAATCTGATAAGAAACTTGATTAAAGAAGTAAAAAGGTGAGAAATGAAGAAGAAAACAGCAGAATAGAAGAAGGGGATGGAGAAGAAGAAAAGGGTTTGATAATCACCTCCCTCCCCTCACTAATCCTTTTATTAATCTTCACTAATGTTATTAACTACAAATCATCCCTCAAGTGCGGTGTCCAACTAAGCATAAAATTAAAATAATTTAAAAGAAGTTAACATGCCCATTAGCATACAAAATAAATAACCTACTACTAAAACATAAAATAGACACTAGGGCCCATTTGGCCCAGTCTCTCTACAATATATATGATGAAAATAGTTGAAAAAAATACTTATATTTTTTGTTTTCCTATATATAAACTTTTATGTTTTTTCTTTTAATAATTTATTAAATTTTTCATAATTTGAATCGGATCGGATCAGATTCAGATATCCAACATCCTTAACTGATTTGGATTTGAATCATCATTTGTGAGATCCGATCAGATCTTCGGATCGAATCGGATTCAGATGTACCCTAATTCGAATCTGATCCGATCCCTTTGCATCCCTAGTTCAAGTAGGCTCATAGTATCGGAAAACTATACTTAATCTTCAAAAACTTGATATAGCATGATATAATATAAGGATATTAAATGAGATACCCTCACCTGTACTTGTGTCTAGGATCTTAGGAAATGAGAGTCATATGCTCATTTCCTATAGCTGTGTCTATCCCTATCCATACTCCATATTTAGCCATCATATACCACCAACACTCACAATATAATCAAAGACCACTGCATAAAACTATGTACAAGAAGAAAAACAAAGTCAAAGTAGCAGAAGATGGAATACCAGCCCAAACAGACAAGAGGCAATCCTCACATTATGTATTTCACAAAAAGGACAAATTCTGTTGACTTAAACCTCCTATCTTGACTTAAAGGAAGTATTTTTTTTCTGTTCAGCAACACCAGGGAGAATTTGAAAATTTTTCTCGTATTTTTTTTCTTTTTTCTTTTTGGAGGGGGGGTGTAAATGAAACATGAAAATGCAAATAAAAGCTAAATCTTCAATAAGAACAAACCTTCTTTCTTTTATGTATATTCAGATGATCAAAGCAATACTAAAAAAAAAAAAAACAAGAAGAGGTATTTTATCCACCCAAAAGAATTCAGACCACTTATACAGTTCTACTCAGATTTAATGCTTGAGATGATGATATATTAATTTTAATGTGAGGTCAAGGTGGGAAATGCAACTCCAGATCATTGTTCATTGTTTTTTCTTTCTTTATTTCAGTGTTGCACTGTTGGTAAGTCCAGGATCTACCTGCATGCGTACTTTGGGCATTAGCCTACTTGAGCCTCATGTTGATGGACAATTAAGAAAGGATACCTTGGAAATTAACAACATGGCTGGTGCTGTTCACAGTCGATCAGTATTCTGATGTGGTTTCAGCAAGAAAACTGTAGAGAACACTGATGCAGGCCCCACAGCTACGGTCCCACTGTGTTCGTAGGGTAGAAAGTGTTCTAGTCTTCCTAGGGTCAGCTGTTGGTCATTTAGTTGTTTCAGTTGTTATTTGTTTCGGTCTTATTTTGCTCTATTTGTTATGTAAAGACTAAGGGCAGATCTGTCATTTCCATGTAATGAGCATAACCTATAAATATTAAATAAAGTGGCGGCGGCAGAACATTAAGCTTCTGTTCCTCCTTTCAACTTTGTGTTCTACTTCTCTTCCTCCCTTTTTCTCCTCTCTTCTCTATACCTTTTTTCCTTATTTCCGAACCTGAAAT